TTTCCGGTAATTTTTCGGTTATGTTATTTTTGTTATTTACGTGTTATGTTCTTTCATTCGTGTGATAGGAAAATAGGGACCTCGGTGAGGGCTTATTATTTCGAGGTTGAATTGATTGGCATGATACGTTTGTGTTATTTTTATCGCTCGTCTATGTGTGTTAAGGTTCGATACGTGTTTATCCGGTTTAGAGGTTTCGACTTTGTTAAAAGAGGAACGATCTAGGGAAGGCTTGTATTCGAAGACTTAGGATCATTAGACTTGTGTGTTTTATTTTTCGGTGTTTTTATTTTCGTTAAGTTACGTGGACTCTGTGTAACCAACGTTCGATTTTTCTTTCTTTTATTGCATTTTTATTATTTGTTCGTAGTTATTATTTTTATTCCGTTAAATCTAATCCATCAATCCCTCGGTTAGAATGTGTAGGAATTTATTTTCGGTCTTGTGAATTTTGACGACTAGATAGTAAACGACGCTCCGAACAGTCTTCCTTTGAGAACGACCCGAGTCCGGATAGCTCGGTTACTAAATTATCCACTCACAAAAATACTACAAACAGGTGTTCAAGAATCAATGGCAACCAGAGATGGCAATTGTTGAAGCTGCAACTTCAGATTAGCTTGAATTTTCTTCTATTTTTTAGTTGTTGTGTTTTGTGGCTAGCTAGGTAATTCTCAGAGTAGTTTGGCTGTTATTTGTTTGACTAATTGTATGTGCTAGAGCTTCAGTATCATATACTGCCTGATGGCATTGACATTAGTCCCTCCTTCTCTCCTATGCCAACTTGTTTGGATCTTCCCTCATTGTGTTTTGTTTTTGTTCAGTTTGTGTTTGACAGTGGCAGGTTTCAGTTAGGCTGCTAGCCTTGTAAAAACTTTGTTCCTTTCTTTGTTTGTTTTATTGCAATTCTTCGTTTCGCAAAAAAAAAAAAACAAAAAAAAAGAATAAAAAAAAACAACTTAAATCCCTCATTCAAATAAAGTTGAGATTTTGAAATCTAAAAAGGATGATTTATCCCGCTACATGTTAAATAAAATAACCATTTAACTTTTCTCAATCATTTTTTAATATTTTGAAAATATCTTTTAACAAAAATAAAATATAGAGGGATTACAATATTTGTGCGTGTATGAACAAAAAAAAAAAAAATGTAGGTTCATTGAGTTATTTTGGTTAACTATAGTTAATTTTGGAAAAGGTGGTATGGTTAATTGTAGTAGAAATTTAAAAATGTATTAAAATAATATTTAAAATGAAATAATTAAAATTGATTTGATGTAAAAGTAAGAGATAAATGATTGGAAATGATAGGTAGTTAAAATTATGTGAGTGGATGAATAGTAAATTAAAGTTGATGTGATGTGTAAGAATGATTTGTTTGTATCATTTAATTATATGAATAATATTAAAGATAGTGGGGTTGAGTTAAAATTGAGTTAGATTTTGAGTTGAAATAAAAGTGAGTAAATTATTTTGTAAACAATCACCCCCTAACTTTTAGGAGAGTGTCACATTCTCCATTAAAATTCTTTCACTAAGTAAATGTTTGACCAATAAATATAAATAGGGCTTACTCGTCAAGACTCCCTCCTAACCAATTTTGCACTCCACCTACCTAATTATTTTTCTAGAAACAACTCAGTATTAGGTTAAATGTATAGATTCCTCCAAGCAGTGTGACAATATCATCCCAAGCACCCAACGGAAATACGAAAGTATGTTTGAATTCCTTGCGAAAAACTTATACATGGGAGTTCGATCTCTTATTATAAATTCTAAACAAACTTCACGAACTTTCGACAAAAAATTTCTAAACACTCAGTATGAACAATGTAATAGCTCGCTCTAAGACCAGAACTCGTGAAATTAGAATATATACAAAAATATATAAACGATATGTAGATTTATCAGAAATTAGAAGATTACAAATCTTCATGATCTTCTTGTTTTTCTTTGGAAACTAAAACATTATATCTTACAAAGTCCTCATACATGGATATCATAGATTATCTATATAATGGAACCTTCTTTAGAATTCTCCCGGATTCTTTACGTTCAATATAATGGAATCTTCTTCAATTTGCTTCATTGCCAACTCTTGAAAATATATTGTTCTCGTTTTTTTTCCGTTCTTACTCAATTTTTTTAGCTCTCGATCACACATTTTTTAGCTTCACAAATTGCCTCCTTTTGTTCTTTTTATTCTCCAAAATAAATTCTTTTTACATGTAAATTAGTATAATGATATCACAATATATAATAAAAGAATATATAAAACATGAAAAGTCAAGATAGAGATCTTCCCCTTCCTTCAAACATCAATTGTATGTTAACTATTTCAAATTCTCTAATTGAAATTCAATGAACTCATCAATTTCTATAGCACATTTTCTCATGCAGCTATCCACAAAATATGTATATAGTCTATCTATAGCCTATTTTATTTGAGTACTGAAACTTTACTGATTTTATATATAGTTAGTGCAACCATAATGCAATTAGAAGTATTTAATTATTTATAACTGCAACACTAGATTGCAAATATTTCATGCATGTGGTGATAGCTTGTGTCTTATCTAAGTTATTTAATTAGTTGTTAATTTCAATAGATGAAACCGAAAAATGATAAAGTCGAGTCTGCAAGTTTTATTTGGACGGATGAGTACTTAAAAATCTTTTGTGATCTGTGTATTGAGTTTACTACGAAACATGGTCGTGGCCAATAATTTAAATGGCATGAGATCCAAGAACATTTTGAGTTACGAACACAAAGAAAATCAAACTACAAAAGCTTTAAAAACAAGTTTGATTACATGAAGAAAGATTGGCGCCTTTGGAAATATTTAAAAGCTGGAGAGACCGGGCTAGGTTGGGATCCTACTACTGGAAAACTTGATTTCTCTGATGAATGGTGGGAGAGAAAAGTCAAGGTAATGGTAATTTTAAATTAGCTTAAGTGAATAAATTTCAAATACTTATTGAGCATTTTAAAACTTATTACTATGATGCAGGAAAAGCCCGAAGCGAAGAAGTTCCGTAACAAGGCAATACATCCCTCTATTGAAGAACAATGGGATCGTCTATTTGGAGACACAGTTGCTACTGGGTCGGCTTTAGCACCTTCCGCCATTTATGAATCTTTGAACAATAAAGAGTCTGTGAACATAGATGATGATGAAGACAATGAGGGGAATGTGAATTTAGTGGATGGAAATGATACTTATTCAACATTTTCTCAGTACTCTTCTCGGTTAGAAGGCTTGGAACAGGAAGAGAATGGTTTTTGAATGATTTCGTGACTACAGTGAATGGTAATAATCCGAGTCATCCACCAATTCGGTCAGCTCAACTCCTAATATTGTCTCTAAAGGTACTCAATCAAGTAAACCGACACCGATGGCCACTCAAACCAAAGAACTGAAGCGCAAAAGGAGACAATTTGGTGGATCCGTAATGATTAAACATCACTTAGATCAAGTAAGTGAATTTCATTCTAATGTTCTTGGATTGCTGAAACAAGGTACTCCCAAAGATAGTGACAATTCAAATGGAGCAAGTGTACAATCAGTAATGGATATTATGAACGGTTTGGCAGCTAATGGTGGGATAGATGAGGGTGGTGAACTATGGTGCCATTCGATTTGTGTGCTTCGGGATTCCGTGAATAGAGAAATGTTTCTAAAGATGAACAATGATGGTGCTAGGCTTTCTTGGTTGAAATTTATGCATGCCAAGAACATTTTTTAAATTTTAGAAATAGTCATTCGTACTGGTGAATTGGTTTTATCTTATATATGCTTCTACTTTTATTACAAATAAAATTTTTTAGACATTTTATAGCTTATGTGTTTTTTGGACAATTTATGTGAATTTGGCATTATTTATTTTATTTGGCCATTCTCTTGTTTAGAATTCTTATATTAATGAAAATGTTTCTTTACTTTATGATTAATAGGTACACAATTAATCACCAATGTGATGAAAAATATTCGTAATGATATTGCAAAGATAATTTGGAATGCAACGGTATAGATATTGTATGACTTATTTCTTTTGAACAAAATATTTCTTTTTGATAAGTAAATTTCAAGTAATGCTCTTTTTATTGAAAATTGTGCATTTTTTTATAATCAATGGAAATAATAATAATAATTATAATTTTTTTAAAATATTATTAAGCTAACTATGTACTTTTAAATTTTAAAGTAATTGTAATTTTTAACTTATTAATCGGTGTTCTTTTTATTGAAAATTGTATGTCTATTTTAAATTTAATTTTATATCAAATGAAAATAATAATAATAATCATATTAACAAATTTGTTATAAATATTAAAAAGCTAACTATGTACTTGTAAATTTTAATTAATTATATTTTTAACTAGCTTATAAGCTACTTTTGCCAAACATGTTTAATAATATTAGTTGAGCTTTTCAGCCATAAGCCATAAGTCATCAGCTACCAGCTAGATTATAACTTATCAACTATCAGCTAGCTTATCAGCTACCAGCTAGCTTATCAGCTAGGTTTACCAAACACACCCTTAGTCGAATAATTCGAACATCAAACAAGTCAAGAGCAATCGTGCATACATTCAGGAGGATCTTGTGTGCAATAATGCAATGTAAAAAATATGTCTACTGTAATAAACATACATGGGCAAAATTTTATGTTTAATCCATTTATATGAGTCATTTTCCAGTAAAAGCCCATATTAGTACATTAATTTAGAAAATTCATCGAATAAGGCCCACCATTTATGCCGCCTGTGGCCCGACTTGCGGAGCTGAGCGACACCCTCATGTAGACATGGCCAAAACGCGGACCGGATCGCCGAGCTCGAAAACAATGACCCGAACCCAGCACGGACCTATACTCGTGCCGGGTCAATGGCCCGGTTGACCGTGCCAGGTCCGGGCCGAGTCCGTCATTTTTTTTAAAAAATAGAAATATAGAATAAAATAAAAAACGGGTCACGAAATAGATGACCCTGACATTACCTTCGAAAATCCGGTCCGTGTTCGGACCTGTGGTCAACGGGTTTGACCGGGCCGAGTCGGCGGGCCAGGCGGCCCTTGGCCATGTCTACTCTCATGCATACTATAGCGCGCGGTAACAAAGTGCAGTAAGTATAACAAATCAATATTGTACAAAAAATGATGTTCTTAAATTGTAGAAACATATATACTTAGTTAATAATAATAATTAAAAAAAAAAATCTCATTCTTTTCATCTTTAGCTATCCTAATTCAGTTTCCAACTTGATCAAAAAGCCTTTTGGTTTTTCAGCAATAACTCAGTTTTCGATGGTAGCTGTCCAGCTAAATTTTGTCCATAATTTATACAATGGGAGTGTTTAAACATAGAAGTCATGAGGAAAATATTAAACAAATTAAGGCAGTCCTCGACTATTTCTGATTTCAGTTGATGAAATATCCATGCGGAATTTCTCTGGCGGTATTGAGACAAACATATCTCGTATCGCCTCAGGAATACAAAAATCATCAAGAACCTACAAAAAGATTGTGCACCAATAACCCTTTTCACTATGCACAGTACAACAAATTACTAACACAAGGGTTTTTAAATGCAGATTTCAGGAACGAACCTGAAAATCACCATCTACATTTCGACCTCCGACGAGGAACACACAACCGGTGCTTTTGCATCCGGACAGAATTTCCAACATTTTCCCGTAGTCGTTACCATAATACTTTGGCTGTCAAAGAAGGGAGCATAAACGTAGGCAATCAAAAGGCGTTTACTATGCTTAGTTATTGCTAATCATAAAAGTCAACTGGGACGAAAGTGGGAATTTTAATAGAACTAAATAATTGATCTGCTGGAGACTTTTTTTCTGAATTGCAAGTCTATGTCTTACATAGTTCTCACTTTAGCTTTCTACAATCATGCAATAAGAGTTTTCTGCATTCCATATTCGAATGCAGTATCTTACATGCAAATTTTACTATCAAGAATCTTTACTATACTCTTCCATCATGTTAAGCTCCATCTTTAATCAGGAGGGGGAGATGAGGGAGGGAGGCAGTTTTACCAATATGATGTGCATTACCGCTAAAAATATTTAGTGACTAATAAAGGTGAATAAGAAGAAATAAAAGTGTAGTAACACCATAATTATTTAGGGCATCTTTCTTTTTCAAGCACGCAGTCTTAGGATCAAATCCCATGTGTCCCTGTGTGGGTGGATTTTCATTTAATTAGGTATTTCCTTCTTTGTTCTAGATATTCCGTTTAAATAAACATATGTATACACGCACAGATATGTTCACCTCAGCTCAAGTTCATAAATTAAAAAAAAAGGTGCCAAATATAAGAAGTCATTGGAATAATATAACTTTATTTGATTCCCTTACATTGATAAGCCTAGCTGCAGTGTCTGCACCAATTACGAAAGCACTACCAGGGAAAAGTTCAGCTTTCTTGTAGAAATATGGTTGGTTGGATATTATGACGGTCTTCCCTGCACGTGAAGGACTCGAACCATTATAAGGGATGTGTGGGAGCATTTATTTTAGATAACATTAAATAGAATGCAGGTGTGTAATGATTAATGGAACATAAAGCTCCTCTACATGTTGACTACCATCTCAAACAATGGATTCATTTTGCCACCAAGGTCTGAAAAATCACATTTTCTGAGTAAACGGTAGTAGCAAAGTATAATCAACAGGAGCCAGGCCAACAAAGAAAAAGACATGAAAACATGGACAAGTTCACATTCAAAGGTCGCCATAAGTTTGAACATTATATGTTAAATCTCACCGACTTTTTTGAATTGCCCAACACGATGTTTTATCTGAGACGAAGTGAGTGGAGGTTTGTCTGCATTCACTGCTGACAGCTCAAAGCATGGGTATCCTTCACCAAGAATACTACACAAGAGTGTCATAACTTGCATCATACAAATGCAACAGAAAATGTTATGCTGCATATTGGTTGAATATAAGTAAACTGTTGAAATTGTAACATGAATATAGATGCTCAAATCTTTCTTTCTATAGCTGTGCTCAAATTAAGGAACATGGATAATTACATTAGCACAAATAAATTTTGTTTTGAGTAAGCTCCAGTAGGTTTTCAAGAGAGACAATACAACTTCAACACAGAATAACAAATGAAAAAAAAGAAACTATGGACTTGGGCCTGAATAACGTGCTCATGTTAAAGATGGCCTTCATAACTGGAAATGGTCAGGTTCAGAAGTAACAAAACGAACATTTGCAATAAATGAAGAAATTCAAATTCAATGTTCCAATCGCAGGTCTAATCCTCAGAAGTAAAGATACCCTGAAAAATGTGGACATACCTTGATGCAACTTCTAAGAGCTTCAGGTGGCCATCATGCAAAGGATTAAAAGAGCCGGACAATATTATTTTCCTTTCTGCCTTCGACATAGCTGCACAACATTTCCCTTCACAATGAACAACTATGATAATATAATTTACGTTATTTTGTAGCTGTACATATCTTATATCATACCACTTGAAAAGGGGTAAACCTTAAAGCATATCTGCCCACTGATAAGTTGCTCCAACTCCTGGTCTTCATCAAATTGCACTTCAAAATCATTAGGAATTTCTGAATCAGCTAATCCAGAAATAAAAGTTGTTGGAACCTTGCAAGCATATGCTATTGCCTGCACACAGGCCATCAAGGTCAAATTTACATTCTGGGGAGAACATTTGAAAGGGACATATTATTATATAAATAAAAAAATAAGTAAGATGGTATAGTATGAAAAAACATGTTAAATTGATTCAGAAACCATCTCCAGAGACTACATATAAACAGATAGCATAAGGTTTTCATTCTCTGCTGATACCTGACCTGAAGCTCTTACTTAATAGTTAATACCAGTGAGATCCAAAGGGCATTTCCTAGGTTTTCTCCTTTTCCAGTCACGTAATGTCATATAGTATATGGACGATGTAATTGTACATTATTTGCATGATACAAAAAAAAAAAAAATAAAAAAAAAAAATCAAAAGATAGAAGTATTAAACAAGCAAGGCACTTTGAAAGACTGAAAAATAGTCTTTTTAACATATCCAGATAATTGTCAAAAATGAAAAATCTACTTAACAATAATTGTAATCAAAATTCATCAATTTTCTACTTAACAGCTGTACCTTCAACAGAAACTGACTAGAAACTGTATCTTCTTCTTCACGAGTTCGCAGACCCTTGAATAATTTATATACATGAGAGATTCACAATAATAAAAGTTGCATTCTCTATATTTAAAGAATTGTGAGATATACCTTTGACAGAGTAACAGAAGACGCCCAAAGCTTGTCAGATGTCCTTGTAGATACATGAAACCTGAATACGCCGTATAGATAAGCCTCAATGTGTGGCATACCGGACTTGAAATCTATAATATAAATACATAAATGATACAAAAATAGTGGCTAATGTAGAGCAAAAACAAAGTAGTTGATAGAAAGCAACGACTACTTCAGAAGTTAGATGAAAAGCAACACAGAATGTTGTTTTAGTTGTAATCATGAGAAGCATCTCTGGTGGACTGGTTCTTGACTCCTCTTACATATCAAACAAATAAACTGTTAACATCTCTGACAGGAACAATGCTAAGAATCCACTAATTAAATACGTGATAGTTTTTTAGCACATTTTAAAGAACTTAATGTGCCAAATTCGTCGGAATAACCTTTTTCTAATGCTACAAATAAAGCTCGTACAGCTTCATGATATTTGAATCATACTATCCACAGCACCACATATCCATACTCACCTTATAAATCTAAGCTAGGACCTGAAAATTTGTACCCTCAAAGATATTCTTGAAAGCATTCAAGGAGGAATGCGATTGCCAACTTAGAATTAGCTGAATTATAATCCTTCATCTAACCGATACACCTATAAATCCCAATAAAAAAATCTCTTAACTATATGCATATCTCAACCATTGCTAAACTCTACTAAGGCGGATAAGTAGATGAACCGAATACATCTTTATGTTGGTTCCCAATCTATTTTCACTGTGGCTCTAGGAACTGGATACTTCTAAGGCCATTACAGCATATACATTTAGAGAGTATTAGCTCCAATGAGTTGATATAAATAACTTGAAACGTGCAATCTGATAGAAGTGATGTGTAACCTGTGATCTCCAAGCTTGGGACGTGTGCTGGCAAGAGAACCACTAAAACCCACACCAAGGGCCGGGAACCCTGAATTTAGCAGATAAAGTTAATAAATCTAAGTTCCGAAATTGAGACCCAGAAGAACAACCCAGCATCCATCTCAATACGATATTGAACATAACCATCATTCAACGACAAAAAATAAAGTCAGAAAAGCAAACAAATAGATAGGGTTCAGTTCAGTTCAACAACTTCAAATAAAATTACATTTATTGAAAAAGGAACACACACATGAAAATCACAAACCAGGCTGAGAAAGTCTCAGAGCTCTATTATAAGCCATCAATGCCATGTCCTCTGCTGTTTGCCGGCAGGCGAATTGGGATGGAACCTAAAAAATTCTCAAGAAAGTAAGAGAAATAAACAGAACTATTCATCTTCAGAGACTAAAAACCGATCTACATAACTTCTAAAGGAACAACAAAACAAGCAATCACGAATCACGAATCACGAATCACGAAAACGAAAATAGATAAAAATGGCGGACCTTGCCCAGCAACTGGATCATGGACATTCTGGAATAAGGCACGACGGCTTCTAAGACCGTGTTTGAAGCTCCTGGCACAGACATCAGCCATCCTAGCGCCTGCCAAGCTTACGACAGCTACTTAATTTGGATCACAATAAACAGTATCCAAGTGATATATGATACTGCTAGTAGGTATCGGCGCGTGTGGCCGGGAACTTACCTGAGACGCGCCGCCGGAGAGATGGAGCACGGCTTGGGTGGGGCTGGCATGGATGGCTTCCACCATAGCTCGACCAGAAGCGTCCATTCTGTTTGGTCTCGTTAGATTGGTGAACGGGCACTTGTCTATGAGTATTTTGGGCTCTTTTTCCTAGAACATGTTAGTATTTAGATGGGCAAAAAATCGAATTTTTTTATTACATAACCAGACTGAATTGGTCTTTGAAAAAAGGTTTCGAAGGATTTTCTTTATTTAGTCTTGCCGAACCGCTTTAAACAATATCATTATCAATCTTGAATATTTTTGTCTCGAATCATCCTGTTTGTCTCGTTTTATTTTTAGTACAAAATATATATATTATATATGTATTATACATATTATTGTATTTTATATTAGTATTGTAGTACCAATTACATAATTAACAATATGTCATTTTGGCATTCATGGTTCAATAAATTTGATCTTTGTAATATACATGCACAGTTGGGATCCAATGAGAATGGTAGACACTAGACAGTGAAAGATAAGAATAAATTGGTCTATGAGGTTCAAGGAAACCACTCGAGAGAACGCCTAGATAATAATCGTACAAAATGTTTGGAAAATGTGACTCATGAAAAAAAAAGAAAAAAAAAAGAAAGAAGAAGAAGAAGAAAAATATAAAGAAGGGGAAACTTGATCATATGCCATTGATCTTTATGTCTATATTTGAGTTGGCTTGTAGTCCCTTGGTTTTGTCGAATATTTGTATTGTGGACCGGGAGTACACGTATGATGCATGGGTAAAATTCTAAAAGTTGACTTGTGACGAGTCGATCATGTGTGGAACAGCATTGGACGTGTTCTATTTGGTATGATTTGATATTGTGGGGAACGCATTTTCAAGTTGAATATACTATAAGGATCCCAGGGCGAAATGAGATTGGCATACATTATGACGTGATAAACGAGTAAACAAAAGGCTAAGTGTGGGGGAGTTGTTTTGCATGTTTTTTTTTTCTTCTGTTATTTTGTGAGTTTTTAAGTGTTTATTTGTGTTTGTTTTAGTTTTTTAGGTTTTTTCCGGTCCATTTAGTCGTTTTTGTGTTTTTATGTTTGGTTGGAGTGTCTTGTGCTTTTTATTTCTTTTCTAGAAAGTGCACTCCATAACGTTGTCGAGAAATGCACTGGGAATTGCTAGAAATTCGACCTAAAAAGTGTCGCGTTGCCGAGGAGACCCGTCCGCGAGGCTTGCGATACCCGTGCCTTAGCGGCAACACACGCGACCCGTTTCCCATTCCACGAGAAGTCGAGGAATCACCACGCCCTTGCCGCAACTAGCAATTCGCGAGCCCACAAGTCGACCCAAGACACAGTAGCACACTCGTGGGCGAGATCCATCCCGCGACTATGCGAGTATACCGAGAGGCCGGCTTGCATCGTCGCCTAGCACTCGCCAGCAAGACGCAACCCGCTACGTCACGAGTCCTTTGTCGTGCCGACCTTGTACTCGCGTGCGAGAAGCGAATCGCGAGGTCGCGAGTTTTCCCCCTGTCAACCCTGCACTCGCAAGCGAATCCCTTTCTGCGTGAGTGTGAGACTAGTGCCCGAGACCAGCCCAACATTCTACACTCGCAGCGAACGCTAGTTCGTGAGCACACGAGTTCAAAATTTTGGCAACATGTGCACGAGAAACACTCACTGCGAACATCATTCCACAACCCCGCGAGTTCTGATCATTAAATGTTTGTGTTTTAGTGTGTATTTGTGGTGTAGTTATAAATAGGCTCAGTCCCTTGTGTTTTGGGCATCAATTCTTCATTTGCAAGATTTTTCTTTTAGCTTCTCTCTCTCTCTCTCTCTCTCTCTCTCTCTCTCTCTCTCTCTCTCTCTCTCTAAAGGCTCCAAAACCCAATTTTTATTGTAATATTTATCCGTCAAGACTGAAACTTTTCGGCTTATTTCTCGTGGATACTACTAGAGACTTAGTTTTAGGCCCAAGATCTCGTAAGTTTTTCTTGTCTTTACTTATTGCATTTTTCTAGGATAAAGGTAGAAGATTTCATGAGTAGAATATGCTTTTATTCTTGTAGGCTAGGGATTACGTGATCCTGTTGCTGATTGAGCGAGTGAGCGAGTGACAATTGCTTGATTACTTGTTCCCGAACCTACAAAGTACTTTCTTTCTATCTTGCATCTTAGGTACTTAGTTCCTTTTCTCTCTTTCTTTTTTATTGCAATTGAGGTCTTGTTTGCAATAAAGTTTAAATCTTGCTAGGTAAAGTTTGAATCTTGTTTTGATTGTAGTTTAAAGTTGCGTTCTTTAGCTTCATTCACCCACCAAATTGTGAGTACAATGTTTAGGACTTTATATTTTTTTTGTGTGAGTCAATCATTGCTTGAATCCATGTCCGAATAGTCTTCCTCAAGAGACACGACTCGACTAAAAAACTACAAAACAAACTTCAGAAAAAAGATGAAGATTGATTGATAAAATTCATGTTAAATTCAGTTTTCTTCAAAGGTGATGAGGATTACAACGAAGGGAGAAAAGATGATTGATCGAATTCAATACAATTGCATTTAGTAAGAATTTGTAGCCTAAGTAGAATTGTAAATGTGTTAGGTAAAATAATAATTTAAGAATAATTAAACACCTTCTAGATAAATATATTAATAGTTAAATAATATATTTTATAGTTTTTTAGGTAAGGGTAGTTTAGGATTATTAATTAATTAAAAATAATGACACATGATATCAATTAAACGGGTATCTGGTGTTAAGTAGGTACGAGACAAGTATAAGATATACCTGACTGTAGAATGACACTACTTTGTATATATGAAAAAAAAAATCTTAAAAATGGTGAGTATGATATTACGATTGAATAGTACTAGATATGCAAAATTATTTTCAAATTTACGTGATTTTGCAAATTAGATTTTGTTTATTGAATGAAATGGACCCAACCTAATACAACAACAACAAAGCCTTTTAGTCCCAAACAAGTTGGGATAGGCTAGAGATGAAACCCAATAGAAACAGTGTAAAAAAAATGGAGCAAAAGAGAAAGGAGCAAAATTCACGGTTCCGGCACGATGATCGCTAGTCTCCAAGCGCTCCTATCCACCGCTAAATCATTAGAGATATTCCAATCTTTAAGGTCTCTCTGAACCGACTCTTCCCAAGTGAGTTTAGGCTGACCTCTACCTCTCTTAACAACATCGGCCCGTTGTAGAACTTCCCTACGCACCGGTACATCAAGAGGCCTCCGTTGGACATGTCCGAACCACCTCAGCCGATGTTGAACCAATTTCTCCTCAATTGGAGCCACCCCGACCCTATCACGAATATCCTCATTTTGGATTCTATCCCTTCTTGTGTGCCCGCAAAACCAACGCAACATCCGCATCTCTGCTACACTTAGTTGTTGGACATGTTGCCTTTTTGTAGGCCAATATTCAGCACCGTATAGCATAGTCGGGCGAATTTCCGTCCTATAGAACTTACCTTTTAGCCTTTGGGACACCCTCTTATCACAGAGAACGCCCAAGCTTGACGCCATTTCAACCAATCGGCTGCAATTTTATGCCTAACATCTTCATCAATGCCGCCATCCTTTTGTAGCATCGATCCTAAATACCTAAAAGTCTCCTTCTTGGCCACCACTTGCCCGCCAAGGCTAACATCACCATCGTCATGAGTAGTCATGCTGAAAGCGCACGTCATGTAATCGGTCTTCGTCCTACTAAGTCTGAAGCCTTTCGACTCTAACGTGTCCTTCCACAGCTCTAACTTCCTATTTACCCCGGCCCTACTCTCGTCAACTAGCACCACATCATCAGCAAAGAGCATACACCAAGGGAGGTCACCTTGAATGTCCCTTGTGGCCTCATCCATCACCAAGGCAAATAAATAAGGGCTCAATGCTGACCCCTGGTGTAGTACTATTTTAATTGGGAAGTCGCTGGTATCGCCCCCACATGTTCGAACACACGTCATCGCATCCTTGTACATATCCTTGATGAGGGTAATGTACTTAGATGGGACCTTGTGCTTTTCTAAGGCCCACCACATGGCATTCCTCGGTACTCTGTCATAAGCCTTCTCAAGGTCGATAAAGACCATGTGCAAGTCCTTCTTTTCACTACAAGAAATTTCAGAAAACATGACGATAAAATTCGTCATGTAATCCTTATTTTTTGTCACAAAAGTAAATTGATGACGAAATTTTATCGTCACAGAGATCGTCACCGTAGTCGCGTCATAATTGGTCTAGGTGACAAATTTTGAACTTGTCACCAAATTTTTCGCTTTTAATGACGATTATACCTACCGTCATGTTATTTGGTCATCTATCATGACGATAATTTCGTCACGTTTATTATGAGAATTTTGTCATGAAAATGATTATGTTGTCACAAAAGGACAAGTTTTAAATGACGAAATCTTAACTTTGTCATCTACATATTATTTTTTAGTGACGAATTTTATTATTTTATCGAATTTATAAAATTTCAGTGACGATTATCTTTGTGGTGTTTTCGTAATAAAAATCGTCATATTTCATATAATTCGTCATGAAAGGGTTATTTTATAATTACAAAATATTGGTTGTCACAAAAGGAAATTTTAGATATGACAATAACAAAAATGTCACAAGGAAATAGTAGTGACGAAGTATTCATTGTCTCCAAAAATATACAAAAGTGACGAATTCTTTTATCAGGAAATTGAAAATTATTAGCTCTATGACTACGAAATTACTAGATTCATTCCCCCAACAAAAAAGTGAAAAGCCAAATGTTGTTTAATAAAAAAATAAATATGTTCTACAAGACCTTCAACCAACTCGATAAAAGCAAAAATAGTGCACACCAAGTCGAATATCCGGAGAGCTTGAAGGATAATCCAGATGCCCATCCAAGCTCTCACCTTATTCTACACAAAATACATTTGCACGGGGAAATAAATCGCCAGAGGCCAAAGATTCAGCCCCAATAACTCCCAAGACTTCGCTGAAGTATGGAAAAAGTATGGCGAGCCCGGTTGTTGATGCCACATAAGCAGTCCTAAAGTATAGCCGGAAAATGCTTAACTTGAAATA